ATCCTACATCTAGAACTCCCTCAAGAAAGGGCTTCCATTTACTCAATTATTTAATCTTTTAGAGAGATTTTCCACAAAAATTCAAAAGTTGTTATCCCTTGACTAGGTGAAGAATAAAAGGTGTGGCTAACAATGTGCGTGTTATTGTTTCAGGCCTGACCGTAGGAAATTGCAGAGGCTTCATCTTGTAGGCCTTGTCCCATCCCACAGCAGATATAATGCATAACCACCTGACAGACCCCCTTTGCTAAAGGGAATTTCAGTCAAGGGTTCTGTCTGCATGCAAGGTGGGTCATCCTGTTCTTAATATTTGCGTTCCTAACTCAAGAGCTTTCATTTTTATTGTTCTATCTCAGGCTAAAGCCCCATTCCTCCACATAGCTCCATCCCCCACTCCCTCATAAAACTTCCTGAGCCTTTTTCATGGGATTCCCTCTCAAAGAGGTTACCTCATGAGACCCACATATCTGTGACTTATACATTTCTTCAAAGCTATCTGACCCTGGGAAGAGAATGATGAGGGCGAAAAGTCAAACTTTCTGTTCTTCATGCTATTATGTCAAATAATTAAAAGCTTGGCTTTCACTTCTGGCTTTGTGTGGGCTTTAATTTTCTTTTCATAAATTTCATCATATTCTTTCTCTCTTTACAATTCCTCCACCACCACCACCCCATCCATCCAACCCAATTTACTACACATCCACACTCTTGTGTTGACCAACCAGCTCCTGAGCATGAAGCTTGCTTTAACAGTCTAACCATGGCAGCTCAGCTCTTGCCTGCTCAGTTGAGCTTTTGGACACTAAGACAGAAACAGAAACAAATGGAACTGTGTTCTTTCTCAGTAAGGGATAAAGGAATTTTTAGTAGTCTGTTGAACCTAATTCCCTTGACAGTGATAGCATAAATAAAGCATATTTTAAGTAACTCTTATCAAAATGCTCAACTAAAATATCACATTCAATTGTATTTAAACTCTTCATTAGTCCACTAACATAGTAAGGCAACATAAAATTGTGTCCACTGTAGATAAATGGGATAATTAAGATGAAAGGGTACAACCTTGATTTACTCTAGCTCTGAATTTCATGCTTTCCTGTATGACAGAAGTCATTTAAATAAATCATATGATATATATCTAACATGCCAAAGATGAGTTAAACTTGTCTTAATGTTCCTATGATAATATAATTTCTAGAGCCTAAATAATTACAAAAATTACAAGACACTAAGCAAGGCAAGCACTTTCAAGCCAAATGCATATATTAATATAATTTCAAAGTGTCCTTCATTTCAATCCAAAGTTTATGATGCAAGTTGACCATGTCAAGTCATCTCTGTCTAAGATTTAAATCATAAACCACATGACTTGTGACCTTCAACTAAACCTGCCTCAACATGTGTTATCTTTGCTTCTTTGATTATGACTGCAGGTTGAATATGGTTGGGAACATACTGCTTACAACTCAGTACACTCAGGAATGTGCCTGCCCTGGATGAAGAAATGAGCTCACTGAACAAAACTATCCTTCCATCCATTGACCAGGGAGGTGGTCACTAGATTTCACCAGAGAAAAGGATTTTGATGGTCTGCTTATGTGCTGTGGGTAAATAAACCTGTTTCCACTTTTATGTCCTGCTGAAGCTTGCACTGGTTTTGCACTCAACCAAAATATAAGCTGTTGAGTTTAGTTACAAATGGCTCTTTGTAAGTGGCCAGATACTTACTTGCCATTGGAAAAGGCATATGCTCCAGGCCAAAGATTGGATCGAAGGACAGCGATGGCATACTGCGGAATGAGATTTGAGGACAGCCGTGTTGTCCAAGAGGGTATATTCTGAACCTCTGGAACCCAATGAGAAATTTACAAACTTAACTCCTAATCAGATAATAATCTACTGGTAACTGAAGTGATTTTTATAAATATGAAGCAATCAACAACATTTGTTATAAAAAATTAAAAACAGCTTGATATAAAATCATGAATATTTTATGAATATTCCCAATCTATATAATTTTAAGATGTACATGTAGTACACATATATACATGCATATATGTTATGTATAAATGTATAACAAATATGCATAAAAATTTTTGGAACAAAGACTTTACTAATGCAAAGATGGTTTGTGTAGTCAGGGGGAAGAGTATGATAACCAAAGGAAAGAGACTAATGAGTTGCAAGCAAAACAATATAGGAAAAAATACAGAAATGAGTGTAGGTTAAGAGGCAACTACAGACCTCATGTATTCTCTTACTGTAGCTGTGCTATGTGTGGTACACACAATACAAGACAAGAATGATGCTAACCTTTCCAGTTACAGCCCATTTATATTTGCTCTGTGCATGACCCCTTCAGATCCTTTCATGGCATATTAGTGTAGCCAAAGCATTCTTTACTCCCGACCTTCCAGAACTCAGGAAGGAGAGAAGGGATGAGACCTACCTTCCTGCCTACATTTTTGAGTCTCCAATGGTGGCATATTTACTACACAATGTGTGTAACATAATGTTTCTGAATCCCTCATTAACAGCAGTGTAAATTTACCCAAGTCTTCAGAGATTGGTGTCAAAAGAGGAGGCCCCACTTCCTGCTCTATGTAGTCAGGCTCTTCCCCCTTTTCTTCATCTTCTTCCTCTTCCTCTTCCTCATCCTTTTGTGTAGGGTTGAACCAATTACAGCGACCCTGGAGATGAATGTTGCAAGGTTTGATATATTAACGAGAATCTCAGAATATTCATATTAGTTCATAGTTATCAAAATGAGACTTCTCTGAGAGAGAAATGGGTCAGCCATTCTGACACAGAGTCATTTTATATGATCTCCCTGATTCAGCTTTCAGAATGACAGATTTGCTGACATCACCACACACCACTTATTCATTCTCTATACTTTTGTCAAGTATTAATTCTATCTAGGAATTAATCTAGGTTACTACAAGAAACACAACAAACCTATACTAGTTATGTCAAAATTTTTCTGTTTCTTGGAGCTACAAACTATAAGGTCTATACAAGCTTTAATATGGGCACAAAATTAGTGGAAATGGTAGTAATACATTTTACTAGTTTGTAATTTTTTATATGAATGAAATAAATGATTTTCAAAAATACATATGTTTTTTATTTCTTTTAAAGTGTTCTAATTGATTTTATTGATATGTTATTTTAGATTAGAAATCATCAGAAAGGTTTTAAGATCATTTAACATTTTAAAATTCCATCATTAAGGTCAAGCATTGTGGTAGACACTTAATTCCAGTATTCAGGAGGCAGAGGTATGCAGATCTCTTAGTTCAAGGTTAGTCTGATCTACATAGCAAGTACCAGTCTAGTCATAGATACATCATCAGATTATGTCTCAAAAAAACAAAACAAAACAGATTCATCATTATAATTCCCTCTTTTGTTTTTTAAAGGTTTGGGGTATATTTACATATATAATTATATGTACATATATTTACATATATGTAATGTACTTAGTATAAGAAGTTCTGTCTGTATAACCACTGTACAAAGCTGGTTTTTGTTTTTGCCATAATGTTTTTGTGTTTCTTACATAAACGTTTTATGTAGCAGAATAAAAACTATTGACAAAGTTAATACACACCAGTATTTAAAATATAACAAGTAGAGTAATTTCAGATCCCACTTAAATATGTATCTATGTACTACCTGAATATTCCGGTACCTGAGGAAGAATATACTGCACATGATGAACCCAATTGGATAGAGACTCCACCAGGTCAATCACTTGGATGCCTTCAAAGTCAGGGTTTTCCTCATAGCTGTCGCGACCACCTTCCACCTCTTCTTCCTCTACTTCCTCTTCACCAAACTGATAGAATCCTAGAGGGCTGACATGGGTCCCTGCTGAAATTCGGGCAATTTGTGCTCTTAAGTAATTGCTCTCATTTCCTGGGAAGGGTGGGTAGCTTATGACGGCGGCGTCTAGTCGCCCAGTGAAAAATTTCTTGATTTTTCTTGCAGTGACAATTTGTGCAGGTGTAACTGATGGTAACCTTACCCATGGCCTTCCAGGCACATTGCAAACAAAATAGACATACTTGTTGGCACCCGTTCTACATTCTTCCTTAGGTATAGCCTGTGGGGCCTTATACAAGGACTTCGGTAGTTCATCCTCCTCATCTTCACCAGCTTCGCTTCCTCCATTGTCCCTCTCCTCAGCTATCCCTTCCTCATCCACCTCCTCTTCGTCTTCACCATCACGAAATTCCACTTCAGCAACAATATAGTTCATTTCCAGACCCAAGATCTTGCCCCAGAAGCGGCATCTTTGGATTGGGTGTGTGTCAGTAAGTTGCTTGAGGGCAAGAAATACTCGGTAAGTCTCATCTGTCCCCAAACCAACTCCAGCTTGTTCAAAATAATAAGCTGATTCCATCACATTGGGCAGAGAGCTTTCTGTCTAGGAAAACAAATATCCATGGTTAAAGTTTTACTCATAAGGGGAATGTTTGCCTCTTTTCTGTGTCTTGATTCTAGCTCTCCTGTTTCTTTCATGTACCGAATTGTGTTAATCCCCAAAATTCAGTTCTTCCCTCAAGTATAGAACTTCTTACACCAATGTGTACTATACTCATTGATATGACAATTTTTATAGAACTCTTAGAAAGAATTTAATAATTACTAATGATAAGAATTCAAACCAGGCATGGCGGTTCACACATTTGATCCCAGGACTTAGGAGGCAGAGCAAGTAGAGCTTTTTGAGTTTGAGACCAACCTGGCCTAAATAGCAAGTTCCTGGCCAGCCCTATAGTGAGACCCTATCTGATTAAAAAAAAAAAAATCAATTTTTTTCATATAAAATAAGTGACTAATGATGAAATACAGTATAAATTATAGACATGTTTGTATTCACTTGTGTTATACTATTAAAAATAAGTATAAATCATGGCTTTACATGTATGTCAGGTAAATAACAATCTATATAGTAACATATAAGCTAATGTGAGGGCTTAAAAAAAGAAAATATTTTTGGGAGTGCTTGGTATAACCTATGCTTTAAAATATAAATATAAGTTCTTGACATTATAGTAAATAACAATTGAAATACTCAAGACAAACATAATTCCATGAAAGAAATTCAGGAAAATGGACACATGATGCCTAATGTGCAATAGAATAACATTTACAAGAGCAAAGGCAACTGAAGTGAGGTGCTTCCCAGTTTTAACTCACAGGCTAGAGCAGTTGAGAACACTTATTACTCTTTCAAATGACTTGCTATTATTTTTCTTTTTCTCACTGTGGACTCAAGATAAATGTAAAGATATTGGGGGTTTGTGTTTTTTTGTTTGTTTGTTTTTGTTTTGTTTTGACAATGTCTTAGTATGCATCCCCAACTGGCCTAGAACTCGACTATATAGACAAGGGTGACCTTGAATTCACAAAGATCTGCCTGCCTTTGTCTCCACCTGGCATGGCTAATATTATACCTTTTAAAGTCCTCACCTGTGACATAGGATTGTAAAATTCTTTCCTTGCTATGTAAGTTGTCACCCTCTCTTGGCCCTGTGCACTTATCTATAACACCATAGAGTCAGAAGCACAACTCTGGAGGTCAAAGGACAACTTTCTGGAGTTGGTTTTGTCCTTAAGCATGTAGATTCTGTGACTGAACCTAGCTAGGCCTTTAGACATGGCAACAGAGCCCTTTGCCCTCTTGTTGGTTCCTGTGGGGAAGTTGTACTCTTCATCTCATAACTTAGCCCTCATATCTCATGGCTGCTGACCTGACCCTTTCTTTATTAGGAAGATTCTTGGAATATGGTCAAGGGTGATCAGGCTTCAGATCCCAAATGGCTTGTGTGTAGTCTCATTCACTTCCTTAGATTGGAAGGCAGACCTAGTAAAGCTGCCTTAGACAGCTGGGAGTCCCTTTCCTCTATTTAAAGATCAAGACATATGGAATTTACCACAAAAAAAGAACACATACTGGAAGAGGAATTAGAAGTACATTTACATTTTGTACTTAATTTAAAGGAAAATATGCAACTTGATCTAAAAACTTTGAATTACAGTTACGCATCACTTTATACTGACACACTTGGAGAAATTTCACTCAGCAAGTTGGTTTTACAAATATCATGGAACAAATCTTTTCAAACCCAGATGACATAGCCTCCCATATACCCAGTATACATAACTATGTATGCTTTAAATTGTTTTAACATTAATTTTAGTTTTTATGTGTATGGGTATATTTCCTGCCTGTATGTCTGCATACCATGTGCATTGTGTTAGATTGCCTGGACATGGAGTTATGGCTGAGAGCCTCTGTGTAGGAGCTTGGGATCAAGTCCAGGTCCTTTGAAAGTGTAGCCAGTGCTCACAGCCACTGAGCCTTCTCTCCAGCTTTCTACCTCCATTTTAAAGAAAGAATCTCACGGTGAATCCATTGTTGGCTTGATACTCACTATATAGACCAGGCTGGCCTTGAACTCATACAAATTTTCCTACCTCTGCCTCTTCTGCCTCCTGTTTCCTCAGGCTCCTGCCTCTGCCTCTGGCTCATGCTGGAACTAAAAAGCATGTTTATCATGTGTTTACTGTGTTTACTTTTAAATAAGGCCTCATCACTGTAGCAGGGTTGCTCCTGGAACCATTGCCATGAACACACAAGGTTTTTTTTTTTTAATTCTTTGAAACCACATTTTAAAAATTAATTATTTTATTTATTTACATTTCAAATGTCCCCCTTCCAGGTCTTCCCTTCCCCTCCCTTGCCCCTCCTCTTTTCCTCTAAAAGGGTGCTCCCCCACCCACCCAATACAAAAGGTTTTGCACCTCATTTCATAGCACTTTCTTCTATAGTGGGCTCTTATTTTCCTCCCATATTCTACAAGACTGAGATTTTGTAATGTTTCCGGGTGTTCTTGATATCAATTAAAATGATTTATTTACATTTCTTATTATTGAAATATTCAGGAGCAAATATGGGTCTATACCTGCTTGTTAAGTACTCACTGAATAATGAGTATGTGGTGGTTTGAATTAAGAATAGTCCTTATAGATTTCTATATTTCAATTCTTAGTCATCAGAAATGTGGCATTGTTGGAGAAAGTATGTCACTGTGTAGGTGGGCTTTGAGATATCCTATGCTTAGGCTCTGCCCAGTATGGAATTTAGTCTCCTTCTGGCTGCCTGCGAGGACAGTCTCTTCTTGGCTGCCTTCAGATCAAGATATAGGACTCTTAGCTTTTCCAGCACCATGTCTACTTGCATGCTGCCATGTTTCCTGCTATGATGGTAATGGATTAAACCTCTGAAACTGTAAGTTAGCCCTTATTAAATGCTTTTATAAGAGTTGTTTTGTTCATGGTGTCTCTTCACAGCAATAGAGCAGTGACTAAGACAGAGTGGATATCATATTTAATTATGTACCTATTAGTGACTTTTTAGAAAATGACAGACATTGTATATGGCAAAGGTCCCTAAAATTACAAAAAATTGTACCATTTATTGACAGAGAAGTTGCCATATGATTATAGTGAAATGCATCAATTATAAAAGGCTTGAAGGGATGTCAGAAAAATCTGATTCAAATTCTATTTACACAGTTTTAAACCAGTTGGTGTGCTTGTAAAGCAAATTTCATCTATCCTTGAGATGCCAGTGTTCATTAGTAGCATCTTGTTGGTCATCACTTACTACTGTTTGCAGAGCTTTAGAAATGGTGTGTTCATGAAGCAAACCCCACTCATCTCTGAGATTCTATTGGGATAGTTAATAATCACTTACAATTTCCTCCTCCAGTTCTGAATCAGCTCCTTCCAAATGTCCCTGGAGAAAAAGAGCCTTTTGTGTCTCTGCTATTTCATATGCTGGAAGCATCTCATTTTCATTGTGGAGTGTATCTAATTTTGTATTAAAATGTGCCATTTTCACATCCTGGCTTATATTTTCAATGATGTCAACAGCATCTGCAGGACGTTCATCTAGTATCTTGGTCAACACTTTAGAAAGATGATCATATCTATGCAAATAGAAAATTCCAG